TAGAAAAAATGTTTGATTACATTTTGTTTGTTTTGAACTTAAAATGACGAAGAACAAAAACACAATCTCAGTATTATTTTTTAAAAGTTGATAAAAACAGATGAAAAAATATGAGAAAAGCATGGCAAGACATTGATGTTGCATATTTCTGAAAAAAATATTTTTGAGAAAGAATACAATGGTTAGATGTTAAGAAAGATTGGTCATATGGAAATTGTTGAGAATTTTGATGAAAGAAGCAAAAAGGCAAGAGATTTCGAAAGCCTTTTACCATAATTGGAAGTGAATAATTTTGATTGCATTACATGCGTTGCGTCTAGAGCACTCAGTATATGCATTCATGAACGGTTATAATAAGGACAATAGCTTTTCATTCCCTAATGAAAAATAGAATTTTGGTCTTTAGGTAAAGATAATAATCAAACAAGAGATTTCAAAAAGAGAGAAATTTACTTGTTCAAATATGAAAACTTAATTTCGAAAGAAGATGAAGAATTTTAAAGTTGTTGAGCCTTTGCTTTTAGGAGTTTTTTTCAAATGAGAATTTTAAATTTTCAAAAGTTATCGAGTCTCTACTTAGAAGAGCCTTTTCTATATAAGAATTTTTAAAGTTGTTGAGCCTCTGCTTGGAGACGCCATTTTTAAGATGAAAATTTTTAAAGTTTTCGAAGCGTTTACTTAGAAAAATCATTTTAAATTTTCAAAAGTTATTAAGCCTCTGATAAGAGTAGCATTTCAATTTGATCTTTAAAGTTGTTCAATCTTTAATGAGAAGAGTTTCTTGATTTAGAATAAAACAAAATAAAAAAAAAACTTTTGGACTTCGAACAAAATTGTTATCTTCGTCTTTACTTTATTCTTGATCCTCAATAATGTGTAAAGATGGGTAGCTATAGATACCAAATTTGTTCAAAGTTTTAATTGGGTCTCTATTTAAAATTCACCATGTTTATCAGGTTCTCAAGCTAAGGCCTGATTTTGACTTAATCGGGCTCGGGGCTTAGTTTCATTTTCTAGGCCCAAGCTTACTTTTTTATTTTTACTTTTATTGTATTTTTAATATTCAAATACATTAATATTAAATATTAATAATTAATCAAAAATATAAAAACACAAAAACACAAAACAAAAACATAAAAAATAAAGAGGTAAAAGGGCTGGTGGCAATAGGTGCCGTGCACAGCACTATTGGTTGTCTTCCCCTTATAAACTCTGAATCCTCTGAGACCCATACACCATGCCCATAGCAGTCACCAACCATACCCTACCCACACTACCATCATGCCCTCCTCCACCACCTACCTTGAACTCTCTTAAACCTTTACTAGCCACCACTTGTCCCTCATAAGCTAAATCTATAAAAATCCATTAGAAAATCCCCTCACAAAACTTAGATAGACCCCAGCACAATCATTTTCTTTCACTAACCCTACCAGGCACTAACACTAAGCATTGAAACCGCACTTTTCATTCACGAACCATCTGCTTCAGCCAACCATTATGAGCACCACCTAAGCCACCGACCAACACCAAAGCCCCTCTTCAACACCAAAAATCAGAAAACCCACACACTAGTCCTTCCTTGGGAACACACAGGCACCAAACATTAAAAGTAGCCATTGCCCCAGCCCTTTCACCCAGTCAAACCCATATCTGCCAATTCTATGATCTCTGTTAAGTGCAGAATCGACACGTACCAAATCCATTCCCTCTACCTAGCACTTTAACCCCCATCACTTATACCCACTCACCTAACGCATACACTTGGCATTTCACCAGAACAGCCTAGCCTCTATGTACTACCTGCTAGACACCAATCTTAAACCTTTTTTATCAGCCTCATATTCAGCTAGCCTCCATTTTAACCATGAAACTCGTTCCCCGCCTTTGCCCATACAAGACCCAGCTTCGTGCACCCACAGCCTCGTATCTATGCCTATATCTGACCAACCTCACACCCCAAACCCCCTTTAAGATTAACCACCCATAAGTAGCCCCTTCCCTATTGCCCCATCTTAGTGAAAAACCTACAACCCAAAAAAAAAAAAAACTAAAAAAAAAAAAACACAAAGACATTATCACAATCCCTCTAAAAGGGAGGAACCACAGCACCATGAAGAAAAAAATATAAGGGTGTATTTTAAGTTTTTGATCGAAATTTTAGGCTCAGATCTAGAACAATTGAGTGGTTTTTGAAAAAATAATAAATTGATAGGTTGAAAGAGGGATGCGAGAGGTGTGTAGTTCTTTTCTGTGTTTTTTGGTCATCGATGATAGCCAGCAACGACAGCTGGCAAGGCGGCCTGCACGGCAGACGTAGATCGATTTTTGGTATTCGACTAGCCTTTGATTTTTTAGGTTCATAGAGTTTTTGGACTTTTTTTTAAGAGAAAAGCAAATCAACAAAAAATATTTTTTTGCTTTTATATAGGCAGGTAAAGGTCAAAATGACATCATTTGAATCCCCAAGATCTGCATGCTAGCTCGTGACCCTATTCTGGATCTACGCAACTGACCCGCGACCTGACTCCCTTCTGCCCAGGCTGGTCTAATTGAACCAACCCCAAATTGTGTTGACCGGCCCAAATCGTTGAACTGGCGCCAAACCTATTGACCGATTTGGTTCAAGTAAAAAAAAATTTTTTTTCTTTTTTTTTTACTTTGTTCTTTATATATTATTTTTATTATTTTGAATTTTATTATTAATATTTATACATGTTAAAATTTTTTAAACTTGTTAGGATGAATATTTGTTGTTTTTATAATATGAATTAATAAAAAATGAAAACCAAAAAATAAATAACACTAAATAATGAAAAACAAAGTTTAATTTTTTTCTGCTAAAAGTTAAAATGAACTTCATAAAACAATATAGTCATAATAAAAATAATAACTAAGGATTATATTACTAACACTAAAAAAATGATTTTTAAATTTGAAAAATGGGAAACAACCAAAAATAATAAAAATGCAAGAAAATGATATTTTTATTCGATAATTAGATATAAAGGTATTCTGAGTAGTGATACCTATGAAATTTCTAGGCGAAAAGATTTTTTTGAATACTACCATTATATTAGAGTATTTATAAAGTTTTCAATACAATAAAAAAAATTTTGCTATAAAATAGTAAATAAAAATTAAATAATTGGTTAAAAATAAAATAATAAAAAATGAAGAAAAAAGAAATTTTATCTGATGATAGGATTCTAAAAGCGTTCCAAGTAGTGATACTTTACGAAATCCCTAGGTGAGAAGATTTTTTAAAAATATTACCAATGTATTGGAATATTTATAAAAAATCTTCAATATGATAAAAAAAATTTTAAATAATAAATAATAAAAAACCAATAAAATTTTAAAAGTAAAATAAAATGTGCATAAGCATATTGTCATTCGTATTGCATGCATGATCTTATTTTTATAAAAATAAATATGAGCCTCCAAGATGAGATTCTATGGTATTCCGAGAAATAATGCCTAAAAAATTTCTAAGTAAAAAAAAATTCTTTTACTGTTATCAATGTACTAAAATATTTTAAGAATTATCTCAATAAAAAAGGGTTCCAATTTATTTTTTTCGAATAAAATGAAATAATAAAAAGATAATAAAAAACAAAAAAAAACCCAAAATTTGATAAATAAAGGAAGTCAAGGAAATTAGTTTAAACACCAAAACTAAGATCGTTTTTGTTAGAATTAAAAGATAACATATAATTAATTGATATCATTTTAAACGGTCACTGTAGGGATACTAATTTTTTTCACGTATAACCGACTCCGAACCTAAACTATTTCGCAGATTCTAAAATTATCTTTTTAATTAATTTTAATTAATTTTAAAATTTCATTAAAAAATATATTTTAATAGGTGACCAATTGTACATAATCAAAAAAGATTAATGGTGACTTCTTTTTTTTTTTTTTCATTTTCAAATTCATTGGGTGACTTCAAAACCATTACAACACTTATTTTTAAATCCTAAAAAAAAAAGAAGCTAGCATGTTCATTTAGGATTATATTACAAGGTCATCACTATAATTTTTAAAGAAAATATATTAATTAAAAAATTTATTTGAATTGAATTTGATCAAACGAAGCAAAAAGTTTTAAGCAATGTAGATATTTAAATTAGTTAATTTATATTTTTGAGATTCTAAAAAATTATTTAGTGTGTATATATATCCTATATTAAAAAAGTATTTTCATTAGTTTGTTTGTTCAAGTGATAAGCTAGCGCATGAATCAACACCAATAAGATAATAATTACATTTTCTTATTGATGAATACACTTTAATATGTGTAATTCTTTAATGTTTAAAAAGTGAGTGTAATTATTGTCCCAAGCCATCTAATGAATACATTTGAAAAATTAAACTTTAAGTTTATGCCATTTATCTCATAATTGGGATTAATTGGCTAATTGAAAAGTTAATTGATAATGTGAGGATAACTAAGTAATTGTCTTTATTTAAAGCATAAAATTGAAATACACTAAAAGAAGCTCTCCATCAAATTTATCAAATTAAACCCTCACACAGTGATACTTAAATCTAGGATCTCAAGATTTTAAGATTTCTTCGTTGTCAATAAACTAATGTCTCATTTATGAGTCAATAATTTTTTATGGTGTTGGAAGGGTGCCATTAACAAATCCTACAAGATCACTGCTAATGAGTATAGATTCTATTTGATCACGCCAGATCAAGCAGTTTGTTCCATATCCAGTTTGACAGAAATATATTAGGTAATATTGGTGATGGCAAGTGATATTGAGATTGAGGATCGAAGTTAATTCTGCCATGTTTGCTGAGTTTGATGTGTTTGTCGTTGCTGCTATAACGTTTATTTGTTGTAGGAAAAAACATTGGTACAATCCTTAAAGCTCCCTGATACCATATAATTTGTTATTGCTCTCATACAAAGCTAACTCTATTAAGATTTAAGACTAAGACAACGGTGTATTCTCCAAAAGAAACCAAAGAGCTAAAATCATTTATATATATATATATATATAAGATACTATAATATGAGATAAAAAGAAGGAATTACAACTGTTGAGATTTGAATTTTAAACCTACCAAAAGCCATCTAGGCTATGCCTCGGATTCAAATCACATTATTAAAGTACAATGCAAGCATAATATACCTAAATAGATCATAAATGAGATATAGGTAGAAGACTAAGTGGGACTTTCTTGTTGACAGTTAGCCCGTAGACTTCACTCATATCCAAGTTCTCAGCGTTTTCACCAGCGGGTAACTTCCAATCAAACCAATAAAGAAGGTTCGCAACCACATTCTCAATAGAAGCGACTGCAAATTGCATCCCAGGACAGATCCTTCTTCCACATCCAAATGGGAGGAACTGGAAATCTTGACCTTTGAAATCAACAGGGCTATTCTCGAACCTCTCTGGGATAAACTCCTCTGGTTTTTCCCACCAATTGGGATCTCTCTGAATTGCCCATACATTGATAAGGACTCTAACATTGGAAGGAATATCATAACTTCCCAATTTAACACTTGCGGTTGTTTGTCGAGGAATCAGTAAAGGAGCAACCGGGTGTAGTCTTAAAGTTTCTTTGATGACACACTTCAAGTATTCCATTTTGTTTATATCATTCACATCTATCTTTGATTTTTTTCCAACCACATTTCTTACCTCTTCTTGGACCTTTTTCATGACATTTGGATTTTTTAAGAGTTCAGCCATCAGCCATTCTTCTGTTGTTGCACTGGTATCGGTTCCTCCAAGAAACATGTCCTGAAATTGTCAAAAAGAAAATACTTCAGATAAAGGAACCAACCAAACAAAACAAAGACGGTAAGGGAAGGAAACAAATTGGCAGATCAGGGACAGTTGAAAGAAAAACCAGGATGATTGCTTTGAGGTTGTCTTGAGTGAGGTCCATCTCAAGCAAGCCATCCTCTTGGAGTTGGAGGATAATAGAAGCGAAGTCCTTTCTTTTGGGAACCTCATCATGACTTTTCAATGCTCGATGCTTCTCAATTATCTGATCAAAAAACGCATCTATTTCTCTATTAACTGCTTTCACTCTTGGAATAAATCCTGTAAGCAGATCCAGCCACCTCAAGTAAGGAAACATATCCCCGATACAGAAACTCATCAACAGACCCAGCAGCCTTCTTGCCAACTGTCCAAACTTGCTATTACCATCTTCTTCTTCGAATTTCCGACTAACAGTGCATCTAGAAACTATGTTATATGCTAAGGCCATCAACATCTCCGCCAGATTAATAGACTCTCCTTTGACAGAAGCACGGCGGATTTTGTTGATAACAAGTTCGACTTCTTCGTCTCTTACAAACTGAAACGAGTGAACTCTTCGGACACTCAAAAGCTCAAGAACACAAACCTTCCTAACTTGTCTCCAGTACTCCCCGTACGGTGCAAAAGCAATATCACTGCATCCGTAAAGCAAGATATTTGCTGCTGTGGTACTTGGTCTGTTTGAGAAAACAATATCATGATTTTTGATGATTTCTCTAGCCATCTCGGCTGATGACACCACTAGAGTTGGATTATGCCCCAATTGTAGAAGCAAGAGAGAGCCATACTTCCTAGAAAGGTCTCCGAGAGATCGGTGGGGAAGTTTGCCCAGTTGATGAATGTTGCCAATAATCGGCAACTTTGGCGGTGATGGAGGCAAATTTAGTTTCTTCCTCTGCGCCAAATTAAGCCAAATCACAAGAGAGACAACGAGAATAAGAGATAGAAACAATGGACCAATATTGCAAAGTTTAGCTACATTCAGCTCCATTTGCAAATTTAATCATGAAACTGACTACTTCGCCCCTTTAATATATAGCCTATAGCCTACCATGCATGCTTGCATCTCTGGTTAGCCTTATTTTCGACTTCGTTATTCAATCTATTTGTCATCATCAATACTGATCACCTAATCACCTTTGAAAAACAAATGCACCCTCGAAATATAAATATGATATTCTGACACCCTATCAATAAATTATAAATTTTATATAATATTTAAATTTAATAAGTTATTAATGTGAAGACTTGTACCAAATTTGATAATAATTATCTTTTTTGATCAAATAAATTTTACAATTTTATTCTATAAAAAATATTTCATAACTTTTAAGTTTATATTTTTATTTATATATCACAATAAATTCTTAAAATCTTTCAATATGAAATTGAGATGTCTCAATTAATAAATTATATAATATTAATTTATTATGAGAAAATATAAATATTTATAAACTTTAAAATAAATATATAAAAAATTTTAATTTTTTAAAAAATTAATTAATAAGATAATATTATATGTTTTATTATTAGTGTATAAAATTTATATATTAATAATATGAAAAATATAATAATTTAATAAATGAATATTTATATTTAGTAATTATTGTTTAAAGAACTTTTAAAGTACAAAAACCTTCGTTTCGTGCATCTTACGAGAAATTAAATTTTTTTTTTTAAATATCGTACTCATGCATTTAGAAAAAAACTCGAGGCTGCTTCGAAGGAATCAAATACTTTGGTTGGTACATAATTATTAAAAACACAAGAAGACTAAGAATGTAGTGGGAGCCAGCCGATTCATCTATGATTTTATTTTTCTAAAGTAATATTAAACAACTACTTAATTATTGACGCTGAATATGCTGAGAGATGCCAATAGCTTTGGAGGGCATATATCACCTGCTCCTTCTTGTCTCCTTTTTCCTTTTTTTTTTTTTAATTTGCAGTTTAATTTCTTTTATCAAAATTATATAATATTTTGTTTTATAAATCAGTTAAGGTTTTGAAATTATGGGATTTCAAGTTTAAATTTTATTGTAAGTATATATGATTTAATTTTATATTAAAAGTTTGTTAATAGAATATTAAATTTTTATTTTTAATAATTAAAATTTAATTTTTGCTAATGTTAAATATTATTATATATATATAGCTATTTGTCCTAATAACTATCTCTTGCTTGGGCATGACATACTTCCTAGAAAGGTCTAGGAGGGAGCGATGGGGAAGTTTGCCTAGTTGATGGATGTTGCCAATAATTGGTAACTTTGGGGGTGATGGTGGCAAACTGAGTTTCTGCCCTTTTGCTAGTTTAAGCCAGACCAGAAGGGAAACAAGGAGAACAAGAGATAGATACAATGGATCATTGTAAAGTTTAGCTACATTCAGCTCCATTGATGATGTTAGTAGCTTCATTTTTGCAAATCTAATCATGAAAGTATAGACATGAATATTTTTCCTCAATATAATTCATCCCTTGGTTTGGTATAAACATGAATATTTTAATCCCGTATAATGACATGACATAAAAATATATTGAAATGATATATATTAAAATTTTAATAAAAAGAAAAATAATATGTTTTGCATTTTATATATTTATGTAAATTTATATCATAATTATTATATTTTACATATATTTTAAAGTATAAAAAAATAAAAATACATGAATTATCAAAATCTAATTGATATCTTTTGAAAGAAACCTTTACATTTGTTTTATATTTGTTTAGTTAATTATTGATCAGGACGATACTTTGTTTTTTTCTTATTTTTTATTTCGTAAAAGAATATTGGAACCTGCCTCAAAATATACATTTAAAATTAAGTGTTATGATACGAAATACTTAATTATTAAAAATAAAATAAAAAATTATATTTAATGTAGTGAATAAATTTTACATTTGGATAAAATATATAATATCATATCATTAGTAAAAAAATTGATAAATTTTAATTTATATATATTTATTTTAAAATTTATAACAAATTATATTTAATTATTAATAAAATCACATCTTATTCTTATTGATAATATATAAAATTCTTAGATCGACAAAACTTTAAATATAAATCCATAAAATATAACGTGAGCCTACTCATCTACAATTTTATTTTATTAAAGAAAAAGTTGTAGGCAATAACACCAACTCTAGTGGAGTGAGTAATTTTATATCCGCTGCAGCAACAAGTAATAATTTCTAATATTGGATTATTAATGTGATGACACAACGCCTTGCATGTCACGCCTGCCATAAATTATTAAGAGCCGGCGGCTAGAGTTTACGTGAGAGGATCCTCTTCTTTACTTAAAAAATAATGAAAATCTCCTTTTTAAAGATTAATTTAAGGTTAATAATAATCCAAATTATTCGTCTCAATTAATGCATCAAAATCGTAATTATTTTATCTCAAATTTGATTTATAAATGAATTAGTTTATTTTAATTAAGATATGATTATATTATTTAATCTAATTTTATTTTATTATAATTTTATGTATCAAATGCATCTTTAATACCATTAGCATCGGCATGTATATTAGATTTTCTTATTGGCTTAATCTCTGTTTGCCTATCATGATATAACCTTGACAATAGAGGCATGTAGGATTGTTAAATTTATGCTCCACTATGTTTTTACACTCTACCCAGAGACTTGGTTAGTCTCTAACTTTCATCAGATTTGACTTTTAAATATAAGACATGTCTAACTGTTAGCATGTTGTAAGAAATAAGCTTGGGTTATGAAATCTATATAGTTCTTTTATCTGATTCTTTGGGCATGTAGGATAGTTAGACATCTCCATCTGTTCGCATGTTGTAAGAAATAAGCTTAGACATGTCTATAAGAACTTGTTGCATTTAGCGTATATGTTTCAAACCCCTGGTTTATATATATATATATATATATATATACACATTACAGGAATTTAGGTCTTTAAAGGTATTTTCTTTAAATGTTTAGTGATGTTTATAAATGATACTAAAAAATTTATGGCATTTGTAAAAAATGTCACTAAAAGTGTCGGCTATACATGCATCGAAAAAAATAACGGTATTTTTTTTATAAAATATCGCTATTTTAACGACATTTGTATATGAAAAACACTGCTAATTTAGTGGCGTTTGTACTTAAAAAATACCGTTAATATGGTGGCATTTTTATCATAAGACACAGCTAAATTAACGACATTTTTCAGAATAAACTTTTATTGACTCAAATTTTTAATAGCTTATTTATTGAAAGTGTTTTTTTGCATAATACACTTTCAATAATCCCCTTAAATTTTAATAAAATGATTTTTGAAGGTATTTTTAACAAAAAATACCTTTAATAATCTCATCTTCAAAATTATTAAAGGTATTTGTTAGCCTTGAATTGACCTTTATTTTGAAATGACAAAACATTAAAGCTAAATAAACTTGATCAAGATTTTGAAAAAGATTTATTTAGTACATGTTCTTAATTTTTATATTTTGGTACTAAATAAATAATATGATTTTCAAAGTTTAAACAAACCTTTCTTGGTGTCATATTTCTCAAACCAAATCTACCTTTAAAGATTATTTACTTGAGCTTAAATGAAAGTCCAATTGTTGTTTTTAAAGTGAACTTATTTATTTTAGACTTAATACAATTTTGATAATATTGGTTTTGAGAAATAGATTAACTTAGGAAAGTTGTTTTACAAGAACAAAATTTTCCAACATTGAATTTATTTTATATATCTGTATAAATTCACAAGGTTTTAATATTTAAATTTTATATGGTTGGAAAGCTTTTTGAATCTACTTTCTAATGGATTAAACAAAATCAAAATCCAAATTTTTTAAGAAAGGATTTTGAATTTTTACTAGATACTCTGCAATTGTCAAAAAAATTACATAAAGGGTAAATTTAAAAATTCACTATAATTCGTACTCAATGAACTAGGTGATGAATTTTATATGGATAGAAAGCCCTTTAAGTCTAGTTTCTAAATCTTCAAACGATTTGTGATTTGAATTTATATAACTCAAGATATGATTAAATTAGTAAGTAAGTATAAAATAAGAGATAACCATCCAGCCGCTGTCAAGATCGATCCCCTCATGGAAGGGATCAATTGGGTCATGATTTTCAAAGGCAAATTCATTCAAAACATGAACAAATTGATCCTCTCATGAAAGGGATCGATCGGGTCTCAGGAAAATACATCTTCAATAGCTATTTTATCAACCATTCAATGGCTACTTTCATTTTCTAAGCATTCCCAACGACTATTCCCTTAATTTCTCTATAAATTAGGCATTCCAACACACCAAGAAGATTGATGAAGCAAGAGAGTAAGTGCTAACAAGTTGTGTTTTCATTTTATTTTAGAATCAAGAGTTTTTAGAGCTTAAATTCAATATCCTTTATATTTCTTGTATCCAAAATATTGTTATGTTTTATTCATTATTTTCTTTGTGCTTCATTAGGCAAATACTCAACCTTGAGAGGTATTTTAGCTTGCAAAAATTATTTTAGTTATCTTTAAGTAAGAGGTAAGGTATCTTCTTGATATTGTAAGGATAGAGGCTGTTATCTAAGCTTTGAGAAAAAAGATAGAGATTTAGTACAAGATAGGTTTGTATCTTGCAAGAGCTTTTCTTCAATAGTGGATTGAAGCCTTGGTGTGAACAACCAAGAAGAAAGGACGTAGGTGCCTTGTGAAAAAAGATCGAATCTCTGTAAATCATTATGTTTGATTTCTCTATCCCTATCTCCTTACAATTCATTATTGTTTATATTTGATTTTAGGTTCATTAATTATTATTGTTTGCATTATATTTTCATCAAAAGTGCTTATTGTTTTGATTTTTATTCAATTATATTGAAATCATTTGTTTGGGAAGAATTTGGAGAAATCCAATTCACCCCCCTCTTGGATCACCATCTCACCTATAAAGCTAATAATTGGTATCAGAGCTTTGGTCTCTTTTTGTAGGTTTAACCACCTTGAGTAAAGATCTTATAGTTCAATTTTAGTTCCAAGATGGTGAGAAAGTCCTCAAAGCTCCCATGGTTGATAAATTTAAATTTTTTGAATGGAGAAGGAGGATGAAGATGTTCATAATGGCCCAAGATTTTAAAACTTGAAATGTGGTTGAAAAAGGGCTTAGAAT